CAATAACACTTTAGTTTGATGTAGTCCTGTTTATCAAGTCTTTCTTGATTTTCTGTGCTTCTGGATCTTTACTCAGAAAATTTCTAGTAGGGCCAGGAGCCCTAACATTTCCCTTTCTTTTTCCTGTAGTTGTTTCATGATTTCTGGTCTTACACTGAGGTCTTTAATCCATTTTGAATTGATACTGGTGCAGGGTGATATATAAAGATCTAGTTTCAGCTTTCTGCATGTGGATATCCAGTTTTGCCAGCACCATTTGTTAAGTGAAGTTAAGTCAGGGCCAGAGAGTCAAAAGATCCATGTTTTCCCTTATTTGTGGAAGCCAGATTTAGTTAAAAACCCCTAAGTATATATGTTGGGTAGTACACAATTATATATATAAATGTATTAACTGAAATATGGTAGAATCAAGGGAAATAATTTCTTTTTTTTTGCTGGTCATGGGGCCTCAATTGGGCCTGGGCGCTGTCCCTGAGTTCTTCAATTCAAGGCTAGTGCTCTACCACTTGAGCCACAGCACCACTTGTGGCTTTTTGTGCTTATGTGGTGCTGAGGAATAGAACCCAGGATCTCATGCATGCAAGGCAAGCCACCTTCCCAGCCCCAATTTTTATAATAATAAAAATATAAAAACAAAAACAAAAAAGTAGGTCCTTAAATGTAGATACTGAAGTTATAATAGTACTAGAAAAAATGTGAAAACTTCATGACAATGAATTTTGAGATATGACTCAATAAGCAAAATCAAAATCAACAAATGCAAAAATAGAAAAAAAATAAGGTATCTCAAGCTTAAAAGTTTCTGCACAGCAAAGAAACAATCAAGAGTGAAGATAACCCACAGAATGGGAAAAAGTACTGGTTAACCATATATGTGATAAGGGCTTAATATCCCAAATTTATAAGGAACACAACTCAATAGGAAATATTAAGTGACTTGATTTTAAAATGGGTAAATGATCTGAATTGACATTTCTTTTTATCTTTATTTTTTAAATATTATTTTTAAGTAGTTGTACAAAAGTGTTGCCATTTAACAAAGCAGTTTATGAATAAAGAAGATGAACAAATGGCCAACAGGTATATGAAAAAATGTTCAACATCATTAGGGAACTGCAATTGAAACTTCAGTGAGCCATTAGCTCAGACCTGTTAGAATGACTATTAACAGAAAGACAAAATAGCTGGGTGCTGGTGGCTCACACCTGTAATCCTAGCTACTCAGGAGGCTGAGATCTGAGGATCATGGTTCAAAGTCAGCCCTGGTAGGAAAGTCTGTGAGACTCATCTCCAACAAACCACATGGAAATGTTGCAGTGGCTCAAGTGGTAAAGCGCTCACCTTGAGCTGAAGAGTTGAGGGACAATGCCCAAGCCCAGAGTTCAAGCCCTATGACCGACCCAAAATAAAACAAAACAAAATAAAAGACAAAATATAAGCATTGGTGAAAATGTAGAGAAAAGGAAAAGGAAGCCCTTCTATTACACCAAGAATGTAAACTGATACAACCGTTATGAGAAACTGTATGTAAGTTCCTCAAAAACTTAAAAGTAGAATTACCAGTGACCCCAAAGTCCTGTTTCTACATGTGCTGTCATGGTTAGAGGAGTAAGATGAAGGAAGGGAGGAAGATAAGGGTAGGTGAATGCAGTCATACATGATATTCAGTGTGTACATAATGTGAAGATAGAACTAGATAAATGGAGGAGATGGGTGAGGTTGAGAGTGATGGAGCAGAATGATGAAAAGGGTGACAGTGTTATACATTCATTGCACTCACAAACTCACACCCTTAATTGAAACCCCTTTGTGCAAGTACTTAAAGATAATAAAAAGCCTTCATTAGCACACTGTAGAGACAGCTGCACATCAATGTTCATTCTACCATTATTCCCAGTAGCCACAACATGACAGCAATCTGTGTCCATGAATATTTTAATGAATCATTAAAGAAACATAGTATATACATAATGGAATATTGCTGATTGAAGAAAGATTTTAGTGTTTCTAATGAAGCTTACTCATGTTAATGAAATTGGTTTGATGGCTAGAGGCTTGGTTTAGTGGTAGAGTATTTGCATAGGAAGTATGAAGCCTCAGTACTGCTAAAAAAAAACACAAAAACAAAACATGCTTTGAGACTTAAATATGCTGCCTTTTAAATCTACAAAAACAAAAAGATCTGGTTGGTCTATCTATCTATCTATCTATCTATCTATCTATCAGAAGACACCATATTTTAGTGATATTAAAAGATAAATTATCTGCAAAAAATTATATGCTATGTATATGATTTTAACAGCTAAGTCATGAAAAATGACAGTCAAATATAAATATTTAATTCTCAGTTATTTTCTTGGGGAACAGCTATTGGAAAAAACATTATTTTATTCTGAATTTCAGGAGGAAAACAGTAATCATCTATTCAATATCTTAAATTATTTGGCTAATTTTCAAATGCATAAATGCAGTTAAAATTTTACACAATCTTAGAATAATATTTAATTCCTAATGTTTGTTCATGATATATTTGAAGAAAATAATATACTCTTAATGTAACACAAAATACTGAAATGCATTCTGGGTCTGGAGAAAAGGGATGTCATTTCTAGTCTTGGTTTAATACATGTATGAACTTAGGTGAGTTATTCAACTTCCTTTAAGCTGTTTCTTGGTTAGTAAAACAGAAATGTTGGCATTTGTTCTTGAACTTGTGTCCAGGAAAAACAAGTTTTTTATTTATCTAGTATTTGGTAACTTTTTTGGGAGGGGCGTGTGTCAGTCGTGGGGCTTGAACTCTGGGCCTGGGTGCTGTCTCTGAGCTCTTCAGCTCAAGGAGCGTGGTCTACCACTTAAGCCACAGCACTACTTTCAGTTTTCTGGTGGTTAATTTGAGATAAGAGTTTCAGCGACTTTACTGCCTAGACTGGTGTTTAACCATGATCCTCAGATCTCAGCCTTCTAAGTAGCTAGGATTACAGGTGTGAGCCACTGGTGCCCAGCTTGCACTTGCTAACTTTTAGTGAAGTCTTCTTAGGGTAATAGGAAGACAAATATGATGTGTCCTTCACTCCAGAAACACAGAGCAAACATGATGTGTCCTTCACTCCAGAAACACAGAGCAGAGATATGTAATATAAATGGTCAAATCACAGAATACTTCTGGAAGAAAGAAATTCCAAAGAACAAGCAGAGGTTGGTGAATAGGGCACAGAAGTTAAAAAGAAGAAAGAGTTAAAAAGAAGACAACAAAGAACAGTCCAGTTAGAGAATATTGCATTAAGCAAAGGCTTTGAGTTATGAGAAGGAAGGTGTTGAGGGACCTGCCAGTCATCCAGCTGAATGGAAAGGAATGACAAAGTCAAAGGACCAATGGAAAGGAAAACAGAATCAGGTTAACATAGTAATAGCAGTGCTATGCTATGGGTTTGTATTTTAATCTAAAAGCAATGGGTGGTAGAAGTGAGGAACTGAAGGATTTGAAATTTCTATTTATGGTTTTAGAAAAGTTATTGTGAATTCAACATAGATAATGGGTCAGAGTCTGGGGAATGAATTACAGGTTCATGGTATTAGTTTTAGCATGAAAATACAAAGGCCTAAAGTAACAGGCAGCAAGGATGGATAAGGAAGGACAATTATGAGAGATGATGTGGAGGAAGAACTGGAAAAATTAATGTGTATCTGGAGGCAGATGAGAGAGGGGAAATCACAGGTGAATTAAAGGTTTCTAACTTGCTTGGATAGATGGTGTCTTTGCCTATTTAGGAAATAAGAAATAAAAAATGAGGGACGTTTCTGTAGTTAGACAAGCTCCATTTTGGATATGTTCAGCTCAATCTCCTTGTAGGATACCCAAGTGTTGATATGTGGGAGTCAGCTAGATAGATGAAACACATTAAACAATGCTATGAACCATTCAAAGGTGCATCCTATTACTGGAATTCAACCTTATACTTTCAGTATGGGCATTAACTCTTGCAAGGCCACGAGGGAAATTACTATGCTATAAAGGGTCATTTCAACAATACTCTAAGGATTTCAAGCAATTAAGACACATTATTTTACTTTTTTATTGTATTTTCTTGCTAACGGAAATAATTTAGCTCCTAACAGAATCATTTCTATTATGAGCTACCTCTAACGGTTTGTAGCTTCGTATTCATGTTTATAGGACTGGCATCTGGACTGTATTAATAGAGCTACCATGCAGATGGAGAAAAAGGACAGTCGGCTGTCCTTCTTCCATCCAACCTTTGTGTCTATCACAGTTCTCCTATATGTATTCTTATTTCCAGCTGCCATGGGGTCATCAAGTCTTAGCTTAAATCAAATGTCCTCTGGCTCCAGGTCCCATGATGAAAAAATTTATGGAGTCCTGGACACATTACAAGTTTTACAGCTTTACAGCTGAAATCCTTCAGGTCCTCCTGACCTACTGAAGGAAAAAAATATGTTTTATTTTATTGTGATTCCCAAATGTTCCCCCAGTATGTGCATTTTTCCAATAGAATGTGCATGTTGCTTCCAGCAATGTGTTTTATATTACCTTAAAGAGTAGGGAAGCACTGATAGAAGGAAACAAGTTAGTCTTATTGCCAGTACAAGAGAAAATAGAACTTGCTATTAGATGCATGATTAGTTGACTATGTCTATAGATCATCAGTCTGTATTTCTCTTTTATGGAGAATATCTTATATTATTCAGTGTTTGTAACCTTTATTGTTTAAAAACAGTTAAAAGGATATGTTGGCTAACTAACATGTTGGCTGATTAGGTGAAGACATTTTAATAATAATACATCAAGAAATATCTCAAAATATAATGTTATTATAAAGTCCATGATACAGCTAGCTTAACATGCTTGAATTAAACATTTCTTGGGTAACAAATCTTCTGTCCAAATACATGTCAAGACCTAAAGTCTCTTTTTCATTAGGAAATTATAAGTACCATCAGTCTGGATAAGGATTAAAAATAAGATACCTCAATAGGCTCACCTTGACAATGAAATCTGCCGTCAGTGGTCCAGCCATTCTCAGTATCTCTTTGTCTGGAAATTTCTGGAAGTCCACACTAGAATTGTCCACAAGAAAGGTGCCTGTAGAACTGAGACTGTTTTCACCTTTAACACCTTGGAGGGTTTTGATTTCCAGATCTATATAACCAAACACATGAAGAAGAAAGATATTCCTAGGGCTACCATATGCAAGTACGTTTCATGCAACTAATTTTTGAGCTATATAAGTGAGAAATATCTTTCCTTAATATAGCCTACAATATTCAAATTGTGATATAAACAAAATGCATAACCATTGGTAGATCACTTTCCAAGCTCTTATGAATCTTTCACTTTCAAATGACCTCATTAGGACACTTTTCTTCACTGTAGCCCTAGTCCTTTGGCTAAACCATATATATCTTACTGATCTCTGACTTCACAGCTGTCAGCCTAGAGATCCAGGTACATCTCTTCATTGTCTCAGCACCTTGTGGCTTTATATACATGCATTAGTTTGTGTTTCCTCATACTTTCTGGTTGCTAACTGCAAACATGTTAGTGCTCAAAATGAAAACTACAGTGGCTATCCTTTTCAGTCTTCTTAAGTCATGATCGAAACTTTGCTCTTTGTGGCATTTTAGAGTGCTTAAGAAAGAAAAGAACTTGAACCATGAACATTCAAACTTGAATGCAATCAATTGGATAGTCTATGAAGCATCTTTCATTGAAGGAAGTTAGGATTTTGAGGGTGAGGATGATCATGATGAATATGTCAGAGAAAACCAAGTTCTCAGGTAATTGAGAGGTGATTTAGAATACTTGCTTTCTGTATGAAGAAAGATGGCCTAAAGCAGTTGTTTTTCCAGCCTTGAACAAGAACCATCAGTTTTGGCAGAGACTCTTGAGCAGAAAGATGTATACTTTGGTGAGGCTCTGGGTCTTTGAGTGTAGTTTCAATCACAATGGCTCTATTCATGAATATTTTACACATTGAGTGTCTGGCTACAGACAATTTTAAAGCCTTGAGAGGTACTAAACCATATCTAAAATGTTTATACTTTGTTGTTCTAGGTATAGTCTACTCTCAAGACTACTATAAGGAATACCAATGGGTAGAAAATGTTGATGTTCAATGAAATGTTCAGTGACCCGAGATGAAAGCTGTGGAGCCCATTTTGTAGTGTATTTCAGATTTTATGACTCTACCCCTGTGCAGAGAAGACCTCACAGGGAATCCTGAAGTGGGTGTATCACAGATGTCAATAAAGGAAAGCAACAATACTGAATCTCCTTTCTCCAGCTTTCATTCCTCAAGCTGACTTGTATACAGTTGCAGAACTATCTCCAGGGCAAGAATTAATTTAGTTATGGGGAAAACTTGAAGATCTAGACTTAGATCTTCACATCAGATTCAATCTTAATAAGATGTGTCCCAGCTGTTCTTCTCAATGTACTTCTGAGCTAGGGCAAAATGAGATTGCTTGGCCTTGTTCTGATTTGTTTCTAAATATTTAAGATTGGTTTTGTATCAGTCCAGCTTCTGGAAAAAAAGCTGCAGAACAAACAGGGTAAGGCTTACCACTGTATTCAATTTGCTGACTTGTATTCCAAATATAAAAAAAGTGAAACAAAAGAAAACATTTTTTAACTTCACATATGCTACTAACGTCATGTTTTTTGGAGAAAAATACCCATCTCATATTGTTTTTCATTATTTATGAATATCATTTTAGGTTTTACCTACAGACTCTTGGAACAGTTGAAACAAACAAGCTTCCTAGTGGAGGCATAACTAGGAAATATGAGAAAATTAATAAAGTCATTAAAATGAAATTTTCTTTTAAATCTTTCTTTTGCAATGAAGAGTCATTTTCCCATTTGGTGATAATCTTTTCCTGAAAATTTTACTTTGGGTTCTGTGATTGCTTGCAAAAATACAGTGTTAAGTGAGGTTGTTACACAAGCACTGAGTTCTGTCTCATTTCAAGGGGAAATGCAAATCATGTGAATAAGTGTATGCACATATATTATCTTTCGACATGTGAACATTATATTTCACAGGGTTTATCAAGATAAACAAAAGAGCATGGATTCATACAAGATGACTTACCATGTCTTTTTATTTTTCTAAACTATACCTCATTTATTCCATTGCTTCACATGACCCTTAAATACTACTTCTTGATTAACTTAATCTAATCTATTTTTTTATTTTTAGAAAGACTAAAGCAGGCTATATTGATGTTCACAGGCTCTCTCCTTTGCAGCACGATTTCCTTTAAAATCCAATTGCCAAAAAAATAATGATTCCTACCTAAATTGGTTTCATGACCATGTGTGTGAGAGAGGAAAAGGGAAGATGATAGATGACTTTGTGGGAAGTCAGGAATGATCAGTCTGAAAGATCAGGAATGCTCAAGAGACCAAGTACAGGAAGCTGTACAGTAAAACTGAATTTTATAGACGGTACTGTCATAGCCTCTCCCACTCTTGCCTTTGTTTGTAGCTGATAATTTTCTGTTGGTAATTTAGAGATTTACAACACACCACTAACAATAATAAAAAGATGTGGGTGTATCATTGCCTTAGCATCACTGAAAATCAATTCTTGCATAAAAGTTGGATGACAAGCTACCATTCTCTCTTTAGGCTTATGTTTTAATTTGGGATTCTCAACTGCTATGTTCAAGATATGGGTTAGTACACAGGATGCTTGATTATTGCATGGTGGTTTGCTTTAAATGTTTCAGTGTTAAGAAAGTTTTATACTTCTAAGTCTTCCTGGATTAGTGGGATAAGAGATAAGTAAGAAAAGGAACAAAGGAGGGAAAAACATGTAGGAGGAAGAAAAAGAGAGGGAAAAATTGAGATTGATTAGGAAGAAAGAAAAGAGAGAATGAGATATAATATGCACCAAAATATAAACAGGCACTTAACCCATGAACAAACAATTGGGACCATCTATTTTGTGTTTTTCAGGATGACTGTGGTTAGAGATAATGACCATAGCAGTTTCTGCCTTCTCATTAGGCAGCTAAAAGATAAACAGGAGCACTCAAAATATCATATTATGATAGAGTGGAGAGATTTGTACTCTTGTGTTTTAATCCCTTCTGGGAACAAAAATGAATACGAATGGTTAAAATTCCCAGTTCCTAAAGGAAAAACGTGGCATTTACTCACACAAATGATCTGGTCCTTTTAAGACAAGGCGGCTGTGTCGACTTCCATATGGAATGGCAACCACTGTATCGTCCACTAGAGAGGGAAACAAAGCAATGTTTTATTTTTACTTTTTAACTTTTTATTGTAAAAGTGAGGGGTTACAGTTACATAAGTCAAGTAATGAATTCATTTCTTTTTGAACAGTGTCATCCTCTCCCTTATTTCCTCCCAGTTTTTTTTCCCTCCCGACCCCCCTCCCCACTAAGTCTTCTAGTTCATTTCCAACACAGTGTCTAGTGAGTATCACTGCTGAATTAGTTTACCCTTTGTCCCATTGCTCTGCATTCACCCTCCCCTCCCCAAATCAGATAAACTTACAGAAAGACAAAACGTACAGAAAACAAAAACAATGACAAAAGGGGGGAAAAAACAGAAGAAACAAACAAAAAAAGAACTGCAAACAGTACAAAAAAAAACCCCTGGTATTTCCATTTCTTCAAGTTCATTTTGATAAGCATCATTTTATATGATCATATGCACATAGCTATTGCGCCCTCAAAGCAATGTTTTAAAAGTCCATAATTTCACATGAAATTATTCATTGCCTTCTAGCCAGAGACAGTGTCTCAAAATATACAATTGTTTTTTAAAAATCAGTTTTTGAAGTGGGAAAGCCAATCTCTAGGAATTAAGATTTCTAGTTTCCTCAACATAAAATATTTCAAAGAAATGAATTACCAGTTCACTTAGGGAGGGTTTGGCCTGTTAAAGACAATATAAATTTTTGGTATGTTAAAAATAGATTTGCAAATTTTCCTTTTTGATGTTAAAATACCATCAGACTTTCCTGGAGCAGAGCATTTACATTGAATTAAAAATGGAAAGTACGTTCTAAATTTCAGGGGATGCATTTATTATATCGGAATCTGTGTCTCTATGGCAGAGTGTCTTGGACAATTAAGACAGATAAGAGGAGGGGGCACTATATTTGTTAGTGTGCTTTAACCTTCTCAAGGGCAGAAATTCTGCCTTCTACTTCTTCACTGTCTTCATACTGCCTGTGCCTAACCCTAAAGGCTCTTGTGTCATTTTATAGTACATACCCCCAAATTATTGTTACTATGCCTCTATGTATATTCCATTTTGAATTATTTTTTAAAAAACTTAAATGAATCACAGATGATTTTATCATAATTATTTCTCTTCCCTACTTACAAATTGACCCTAAACTTAGTAGATTAAAAAACGATACACTGTAGCTATAAATGGACGTGTTAAGAGGAAACAGCTTTGTACAACTGAGAGATATCAATAAAAATAATAAAGTATTAGGGGTGGATTACATGTCCAATTAGGCCTTTAGGCAATGTCATTTATTTTCACCCAAGTCATACCACATATTGCTACACCCATACTGTGGACATAATTCTGTGGGGTGTGTGTGTGTGTGTGTGTGTGTGTGTGTGTGTGTGTGCGCGCGCGTGTGTGTGTATGGGGGGGGACTTGAATTCAGGGCTTTGTGCTCTTCATTAGCTTATTGGCTCAAAGTTGGCACTCTACCATTTTGAGCTATACCTCTGTTCAGAAAGGATTTATGATGAAGAAATGCCACTGTCTAAGACTATGAAGTGCAAAGTCAAATGGGTAGGAAAGCACTACAGAAGACAAGAAAGGCAAGCTAAAAGCTCAGCAGGATGCTGAGAAACTCTGTAGGACTCTGTTTTTACAAATCTTTGCAACTCTGTTTATTATCATCCTGTCATAATAACAAGTTAGCTTAAATAAAAGAATCCCCAAATACAATTTCTCAGAATCTTAGCATTATGATCTTATCTTCAGAAGAGTTTAAGTAAGGGAATCTCAGAAGCTTTCCAGCTTCTCAGCTCCTCAGTTTCCTCTTTCATAAAACAAGGAAAGCAATACCTGCCACGTATTACTGTTGTTAATAGATATAAAGACAGATTCATACACACAGATGTATTTCTTGGAACATGGCAGATATTCTATAAATTATATTTTCCTCCTTTTATTTCCAATCTCTTTAAGAATAGAACCAAAAGATTATTTTGTGGTGCTTTTAACATGCCAAGGTGCCTAGCATGTTACCCATTGATGGAGGAAAAGAATCAGATGTCTCTGCTCTTGCCCTAAGGAGGTTACATTTATTGAGTTCTCTATGATATGGAAAAAAGTACTCACACTATATCTTTATAACTGTTTCTAATACCATGCTTTGTTGAAGAAAAAGTCTGAATTTTAGTGAGCTAAGACTTTGTGACATATAGGAGCAAAAAATGTAGCAGGGGTAATGGAAAAGGAACACAACAACGTTAAATCTGGGGCCCACGGCATCCTCAATGCTTTACATAAAGACATCGATTTTAAAGTTTGCAGAGGAAACTCAAGGCCCTTCAAACAATGTGTTTTCTAGAAATAGAAAGTCTTTGTTTATGCACAGGTCAAATAAAGTGCAAGTCAAAGGAAGCTTTCTGTTGGGCTGTGCAGTCTTCTGACCCCCACTCAGCTCATGTGCCTTGCTTTTGCTTTGTTGAGAATTAATTCACATTCCACAGGCTGAGGCATTAACCCTAGCTTTGGCTGATACATTAACAATTGCATGCTCCTGGGAGAAGGCAGGGGAGGAACCTAAATGATTGTTGGGAAGAAGGGTAAGATGGAAAAAAGCAGACTAGGGAAGAGCCAATATCCTTCTGTACTTGTCTCATCAATAAGAAAATGGGATAACTCAGGCTGCTCCAGATGAGTGTTTGGTAGAAGACAGGATAGAGGTAGGAAAAGTCATGGCTTATGGTTCAATTGTGGAGAAGTCTGACAAGTTTTAGCAGATCATTAGGGGATCTGTAAATTTATTACATTATTCTACAAATAGTTGTAAGGATATATTGGTTTATATTTCTATCATACTCCATATGTGGGACTAGGGATTCAAAATAGACAAATAAAAAATCAGTCCCACACAATGATCCTTGAAAAAAGAACCCAAGGAACAAAGCACAGGGAAATCTCACATGTCCATATCCATTTCAAAGCACATGATTTAGTTTCTATAGGGGCTTAAATGAAAGACACCTATTTCGACCTGTTTAACTCAGGATATACTTGCTTAATGTGTTTCTCTGAGGAAACTTTAATATTCCTTACTGTATCACAGAAATGGTGGTCTTGATTTGTTGAAAAGTAAAATAGAGAAAATTAAAAACACATTTCCTCCATGTCGATAAAAAGTCACCTACTGTTTGAGTTGTTACTGTCTAAATAATGGTCCTCAGTGATGAGTTGAGGGAAATCTGGGAGTTTTATCTATGTGTCCATTACAGTGATGCTGTGCACAAAGAGGTGTTTAGGAGAGACCAGAAGGTGTGAGCAACTTGTCTCCTCAGAGGTGCATGTGGCTGGTATGGTTGCAGAAGCAGATGACTATGGCTCTTACCATGCTGTGCATTCCTTCAAAGCACCCTTTCCCACAAAGGCTCTCCATTCTGTGATCAAGTACATCTGTTCTAATCTGTTCTTCCTTTGTTGACACAACAAAGATGCCAGTCTTTGGGACCCATTTCTAGGTTATTTATCAACAGTTCTGAAAGATCTGTTTCAGAGATTAGATAACATGTTGGTTGAATGGGCAAATTATCCATGAGAGTCAAAAATTCTGTCATTTCACATACATGAGTAAATACCCTTTTGCAAGAAAATTGTTACCCAGGATTATACCTAAAAGATTTCCTTAAAAATACATGTAATGATGTATATTGTACATGTTTCTATATAAAATATTATATGCAAATTTTACAACTCTTGTGGATATGCTTTGTGATTCATTGGTATATCAAAGAAAGATGATAATGGCATTATTTCGGAGATGGGTAGGGATGGGACATCTGGGAGGGAGGGGGAGAAAGACAGAAGGGGTGATTGACCAAGATGCATTGTACATGTGAATACACATGTAAAACTGAAACCTCTTTGAAGATAATAACATGAAAGAGATAAAAAGAAAAAGCAGATTTCCTGTTCTGGAATCTGACTTTGTTTTACTTCTAGATTTGTTGTCAAGTTCATGTTTTTAAGGAATCTTCCCTTTGAACATACAAGGCTAATAACATTATTTTTGAAAATAAAAGTGCAAACTATTGTTACTATAATTTGCTATACCTTAAACCCCACCAGTATTCAGGAGGTTTTAATGGTATATTTAAAATCTTCATGTCAATTTTACTATTGTCAAAATATATCCAATAAAACAAGGAGAAGCTTTTCATACTGACTCTGTAGAATATCAGTAATTACTTAATAGAGGATGTAGACTGGAAAGGGCAAAAAATACTTTCTCCATGCCCAATCGGAACTTCTTTAAGTTCTCCATGCCCAACTTCATTCTTGAAGTAATCTACAACAAAAACTTCGGTGCCATCTTCATGAGTCAAAATGTCTTATTTACAAAATACCCTATTTCACTGAATCTAAGAGAAATAACTTGTGATATTTCAACAAATATAAAGTCAGAATATATTGCACAATGAATAGAATCCTAAATTTTCTCTCAAGTAGGCAGTAATCCTGCCACAACTAACTTTGTGTGCACAATTGCAGACAGCAAAACATTAACATCAAACCTACAAACAAATGTCAGATACTGGGAAGCAAATTAAAAAAATAGTAGAATATCCACTCATTTATCTTCCAGAAACCTAATAATTTGGGGGACCCTACGGAGATGAAGAATTGGAGGTACTTAGGAACATTACCATAGATATTTACAGTTCTACACCATTGCAAAACTGATTTAAGAGCCTAGCACCAAAGTACCAAGACTTTTATTTCTGGCTAAGTAAAAAGTACCTGGGACCATATTTACATTCTACCTAAAACAGCCAAAATGTCAGACAGAATTATTTGAAGGTACTGGGCAGGCCAAGGTGTGTGTATGTGTGATTAACCATCTTAAGAATCAGAAAACAAATGAGGCAGAACCTAACATTGTCTTAGATATTTACCTTGGAAGAATTTCTTGCCTGTGCCATTGGAAATAAGAACTCTGGTACAGACAAGTAGATTCCTTGAGCAGAGGATGT